GTGTGGAGGGGTGGGGTGCGTGAAGTCGGGGCTGGGGTGGGGTGGGGTGGATTTGGGGGCAGACAGCCTGGGTCAGCCAGGAGGCGGTGCAGGGACGGGCGGCTCCAAACCCAGGGGCATTCTGCAGGATGTGGGGACGGAAACCTGGCCAGGGCTCGCGTAGCAATGATCCAGGGCCGGCAGCCTTGATCCTCGAGCCCGGATGGCAATCTTATGTCAAGCACCCGGGATACCCGCCAAACCTCTTCCCCCCCCCAATACACACACACCTCCACGATGTATCGGTCAATGGCGCGCCGCGCCTGCCCCTTGGTCCAAGCGGCGTCATGGGGGATGCTGTGGCGCAGACAGAAGGCCAGCTGCGCGTCGGACGCGCGCCTGTCCCGCCACTCGCTGTCCAGCTGGTGCATCGTGTAGGCCAGGGGGTCGGCCTGGGACAGCCACTTCTCAGCCAGCTCCTGGGGCGGCCGGTGACGGCGGCGGGGGAACGGGGGAGGGGGGCGAGGGGGCGCAGCACAATGAGGGGCGCGCACAAGGAGGGGCGCGTCGGCGCGCTCGCGGCCGACGCGCCGGCGCTGCTCGGCTTGGGGGCGAGCGAGGCGGCAAGAGCAGCAGAGGGCGGCGCTGCGGCCAGGCTCCCGGCCGACGGCTCGCGGCCTGCGCACCCTGGCCGCCTGCAGCTTCATGCCGCGCTGCCTGTTGGGCACGAGGGGCTCCGCCTCGGTGCCGCCGCTGTCGACCTCCGGGACGTACATCCCCCTAGGGGAGCGCCGCAGCCGCAGCACGCGCAAGGTACTAGTCGCGAGCTGGCTGTTGCCCGCGCGGCCTGTAACGGCGGCGGACGCGGCGGCGCCTGACATCATCGACCCGAGGCTGACGCGGACGCGGGTCATGGGCATGGCCCAGCTGCCGTCCTCCAGCACCACCCACTCCAGCACACCCGTCGTCGGCGGCTCGCGCCCTGTCGGGGCCGCGCCGGGCGCGTGCTCCCCGCCCGCCTCGTCGTCGGCGTCTGGCGCAGCCGCCGCAGCCGCTGACGGCAGCAGGTCGCGGCACGTCAGCGCCATGAAAGGGTCGCTGCTGCTGCTGCTGCTGCTGCTGCTGCTGCTGCTGCTGCTGCTGCTGCTGCTGCTGCTGCTGCTACTGCTGCTGGTGCTGGGTCCCGCAGCCGCCGGCCGCCACTCGTCCAAGAAATCAACCACCAGGCACCTTCCCCCGCCCCTGCCCCCGCCGCCACCATGGGCCACCGCGAGGCCGGGCGCGAGGCGCGCCGCGTACTGCGCCTTGTCGCGGGTGGGCGCCGCCATCAGCAGCGCGTCCAGCGGCCCGGGGCCCAGGTCCAGGTGCTCCGCGGGCAGGCTGGTCACCAGCACGCGCTCGCCGCCCGATGCGAACGACGCCAGCACCGCCCCGCGCTCCTCAGTCGGCAGCCCCTGGTGCAGCGGCACCGCGGGAACGCCGCGCAGGCTGAGGGCGACGGCCAGCGCGCGCGCGTGCGCGGGGCCCGCGGCGTACGCGAGCGCGCGGGCGGAGGGGCAGAGGCGCGCGTACGCGTCGGCGACCGCGGCCAGGCGGCCGGGATCGCACAGCTGCGCATCCAGCGGCCCCTCGCCGCCGAGCCCCTTGCTCCGCCCGCCGCCGCCGCCAGACAACAGCGCCGGGTCGAGCGCGGCGCCCGTCTCCACCGCCGCCGTCTCCACCCGCGCCATCGCCCCCGCCTCCACCCCCGCCTCCACGCCCATCTGGTAGGCCACCACCTGCATCTGCGCCACCGCCACCGCGTAGCCGCCCACGGGCTGCAGCAGGGACTCCCAGAAGCGCCAGCTCAGCGTCAGCAGCCGGCGGTCCAGGGACGCCTCAAGGAAGCCCGCGTCGCGCAGGACCTGCTCGGCCGCCGCCAGCGCGCCGCCGGCCAGCGCCTCCTGCTGCTGCTGCTGCTGCTGCTGCTGCTGCTTCTGAACCGCGCCTGATCCTTTTGTCGCGGCGCTGGCGCCGGACAAGGCCTGCTTTGCCTGACGCCGCGACGCCCGCTGCGCGCGCGTCGGGGCTCCGCCAGCCGCGTCGTTAGCCCGTGCGCCCGCGCCACCGGCGCCGGCGGCGCCACCGTCCTCTGGCGGGGCGGGCGCGAGCGGCTCGTCCAGGACCGCCAGGCAGAGCCGCTCCTGGTGCTGGCGCCGCCGCAGCTGCCAGGCCGCGCGCGGCGCCGACGCGACGTGCTGCAGGTCCACCAGCAGCACGGCATCACCCAGCTGCAGCGGGCCCCCGGGGATGCGGCCGATGCCCGCGCCCGGCGGCAGCGCGGCGCGCAGCGCCTCGGCCTGGTCCTCCCACCGCGCGCGACCGTCCGTGAGCACGAGCACTCGCCCGCCGGCACGCACGGCGTGCGCCGCGACGGCTGCGGCGACGGGCGCGTGGCCCGCGGAGCGGGGCATGCGCAGCAGGACGCGCTGCTGGCCGGCCGCGAACGCGGAGAGGGCCGCGTCTGTGGCGGCGCGCTGGTGTGGCAGCAGCAGCTCCAGGCCAGGAGGGGTGGCGGCTGTCGATCCTGCCGTCGCGGACGCGGCTGTCGGCGCAGAGATGGGACTGACTTCAGACGCCTGCGGGTGGTCGTCGTTCTGGCCTAGGCGCTGCTGCTCTTGCTGTTGCTGCTGCTGATGGAGGTGGTGGTGTTCATGGGGGCGGCTGCCGCCCTGAAGCTGCGGATGCCCCTGTGCCGCCGCCGCCGTCTGCACAGCTCTGGCGGCCCCGTAAGAGTACGGCTGCACGATGGCCTCCTGCGAGAGCATAGAGGATAACATGTAGCAAGGGAGCAGGAGGGGCACATCCAGCAGCACAGCGCAGCTTCAAGAAGCGCGTGGTGCAGGGACCAACAGCAGTGCGCGACGGCATGCGCATCGCACCGGCTGCTCTGGCGTGTGCTGCAACCATCGCTCAGCCGCATGGCGCCATCCGGTACTATTACTGCGCCTAAGCACCCAGCTTAGACGCTGCAACAATCGCTGCTGCTGCATCGTGGTGCTGGTGACCCGGACTTGATCTCGCGGTCACCCGCGCGAATGCGACAAGCATATCGACATGTTTTGTGACTGCTGCTTAATGAGGGCAATTGAATGACCTGTTTGAGTGCACCCAAGGATGGAGGGACCGCCGCTGTTTTCCATCGGACTCATGCTGCACCTGGCTGCCTGCTGCGCATTCGCACGGCTGACGCACGAGCCGACCTTTCCACAGCTTGCCCCGTGATACCCATACCATGAGATCCAGCATTTGAGCAACCAACCGACAAGGTCAGCATGTGAGTGGCAGCTATTGTCCTGCATTTTTGGCCCGCTTGTCAGTTGAGCTTCAGGTGCTGGACTCAACCGATTGTGCTCTCAGCAGCCACCCGGTTAGCCAGCATCATCCTCACGCAGTCCGCTCATTGTTACTAGCTGAAGGTCAACGCGACGGCTGCACCTTTGGTGGCGCTCATCATGCATGGCGGCCGCTCACGCTGCTGGCGAGGGGACCAATCTGTGCCTGGGGTCACTCCACCCTGACGGCCTCAGGACGACCCCATGCTCATGTAGCCCACCACCACCGCCAGCAGCGCCGCCGCGCCCGCCGCCAGCCCCGCAACCGCCGTGCCGCTGCACGCCTGGCCGTCGCCGCTGCGCTTCCCGCCCAACCCC